GAGGGAGGAGTTTGACGTCTTCTGCTTGCTCATTCTTCTATCTATGGGGCAATAAGGGGGGTTTATATAGAGCGAGGATGCCCATAACCACAATCAGAATGCCCATCAACATGCCGTGAAAAAATCGTCCCTATCCTAAAACATGACCTCCCAGCATTTCCGGTATCTCTCTTCTCTTACCAGGTCCAGCTTGGACAGAAGTCCTTACACCCGTATCTGCTGTAACCGGCGTACCTAGCCTTACCGAAAGACTGCCGAACACTACCAGCAGGTACCCAAACCCCCGATGGAGACCATTCCCGTATCCTGAAACTGAACATGAAATAAAACTATACTAGCAGGAGAAATCCCTGCTAGTGTGAAACTCACATACAAAGCCACCAACCGCCATCATCAACCAGGTTGACCAACAAGTTCTTGAACAATCAAAAGACAAGTGAGTACCCATGACTTTCAATAATTCGAACATCAAGCGGACGGAGAATACAACAGGATATAGCTGATCACGGTCAAGCACTCGGACGAGCTTCAAACCTGGAAAACGCCGGTATTCGGGCGAAGGTTACACACAAGAAGGAACACTTTAGATCTCCACGGTCACCCAAGCGGAAGGGGTATTTACCGGGAGTGGGAAGGGGGGGTGGAGGTACAATGCAGGTGTTAGATCCCCTTTGTTTGCCGATAGGAATAGGTCGTATCCAAACCACCTACGGCGAAGTAGCACTCCCCCCCGCAAAGAAACCCCCTCATCTTTCCACTACAGCTCTGTTTAGCCGGAATAGGGTGTTTGGCTGTCGGCGAACTGGCATATGCTAGCGAGCTATTAGGGGAATTTGATATATCCCGGCAGGTAGCTGCCCGGGCACACATGGCCCATTGGATGACCACTAGGAATAGAATTCATAGAGCAAGTTACAGTTTCCCGGCATCTTATCTGAGGGTTGAAGCTCATAGTTTGTATATGCTGTTGGGAAAACTGCAGATGGGGGCTGTTGGAAGGCAATTTGCGGAAAATGTTTGCGTGCCGGTGATATTGGCGGTGAGTAAAGAGCAAAGGCTAAGGGGCACGAACAGATGAGCCGCCATGAGTGGATGAATACTGGAAGTGGCTATGACGCATTCTCTTTTTCTCAAATAACTATAAAAGTGTTGGGCTATGTCTGATAATCCGTCCCTCTCCCAGGTTCCTCTGCCTGTACACCGTGTTGCATTTAGCGCTCATCTGTGGGATGTCCTAGTCTCTTTACAATCCCTTTCATTGTTAGACAACACTTGGCTTTTACCGCCTCTCACACACTGACCTCACAACCTCCCGACCATGGATAATTAAGCGATGGTATACTCCTCTCTCCTTACTTCTCATTCCTAGCAGGAGGTTTTCCTCCTTGGCAGGGTTTCCCACTGATGCTTACCGCGGCTTGAGTAGGCGGTCAATATGTAATTTTCTTGCCCCGGCTACTCACTGCATATCTTCCGAGTTAGCCGCCAGGAGGGAGGAGACGGAAGGGCGCATCCGGATATCCCGCCGGAACCCAATTGAGGCGGAAATGGTACACATGGGAGTGAAACCTTGGTGTCTCCGGTAGGCTGTTGGACAGTTACGCGAAAATGGGATGGGGGATTTGGTTCACCAAGTTCTGGGGCGGCAGCCAATATGTGCGACTTGAAGTATTGCGATGAGTTGTCGCGATGCGGGGATATAGTCTGAGGGCGCCCGAGCAAGGGATAGTAACTGGGAAGGATATTGGTGAATGACTATTGGTTAGAGCAACGTTTGGTGCACCCTGTGCCGTGAGAGCTGGAATAAAAACTGACCATAAGCTAAGTAGGATGTCCTGAGATATCCTCACTGGGAGATTGCGGAGGCGAGCACATCCAGGAGGACATTGTTTCCGAGACTATAAAGAAAGATATTCTGCGACGTAGCCTGGAGGGGGAGCTTCAATAACTCATTACAAAATAAGCCCCTGCAAATTTGCACGGGTATCCACATGGCGTGAATTGGAAGGGTCTTGAAGATTGGCGGAAGTACTCTCATCATCCCTTCAAAATTTTCCCCCATTCAAGCGATACGACTAGCCGAGCGCATCAACTGTGAACCCCCGATACGATATTATTCCTTTTGACGGAGTATTACACGGTTCTAGAAGCCTAGATGTCTACCATAATTAACATTGTTCACAAGCAGCCGAGAGTTTCGGAACAAGTCGGCAGACACCGCGGTTACCTTCGCTACAACTCTACCGGAGTGGAAAACCCCCCCCACCCACGGTATCGGCTGGTCTGAAGCGCTCGATCCCAAGCCGTTGGCACCGGAAGGGGAAGTTGATCCCGAGTGTGATGCCATACTTGTAGCGAGAGGAGAGGTGAGTGCCGAAGGAGAGATGAAGAAGGCCGCCCTACGTTCCTTGAGTCAGGTGCAAAAAGCTGACGAGCTTTCTCTTATTACGACAAGGGCAATATATTTCATCGCTAATGAGCATGGAATGGCCTACGGCGGGCTTCATGCCCATGTCCTTCAACTTGAGAAGGAGACTGCCTCACGACTCCTTACAATGGACGCCTCCACAAGGGGATCTGCTGTAGCTAAATTCGAAAATGACATCCTACAAAATCGTGTACAGGATCTCACCAATTCACATGAATCGTATAAACTCTTACGACACCGGTTCCTCAGCATCGTTAGAAGAGATAAGCGGGACGACGAGATCGGGGCGGACTACTAATATATCCCAAAGGGGGAAATATTTTAGGATAGGGAGCTAATGCTACTGTTGACGCGCTGCTTCATGCCCGTGTAGAGGGAAGAAGAGATAGAGATACCTATGTAATGTAAATCATGATCGTATGTTGTCACTTCTGCATACTGGAAGCCTTGATTCTTTCTGACCAGGTGTGTAAATCAGTTCTGACCTTCTCTCAGATGACTGCCATGGAATCTCTTTTTCTCCCTACTTCTCCGATGAGCTCTGGACTATATATACATCCTCAAGATAACTTATTCCTTCTAGACCGCTCTTCTTTGTCATTTACCAGACCCCGTGGTTCTGCTTTCCTTTACCCCTCATTTGCTTCTCTACGATTCTAAAGACTTCCTCTACCCCGCTTTTGTAACCAATCCCTTTTCCTGCTGCCTCCTCATATTCTTCCTTTTTTCTTGTCCAGCAATATCCATCTAGAATACATCAATCCACAATACCTTCCACAACATTTCATCTTGCTTATCAAATTGCTTCTAATCATTACAAACTTTCAATACCTCCGGCAATATCTCCGCACTATTAGATAGAACTAGATACGTAGGGTAGATACTCGAAGTGCCAGGTATTTGCCATAGTATCTACTATTCACCGAGATCGTGCAAATTATTGGTAAGTTGTTCTGGAATTAGCTGTTTCAAATCAAGACAAAGGTTAATTGTACAGGTCACCAAGTGACAACCAAGGCCCTGAATACTCATCCTGAAATTCGCGCCTCCCAACATAAGACCGGACCGGCCATTTTTTACCAGCATGTCAAGGAGTCCGTGAAAGAATTCGAGGAAGCGGGGGAATACAATGACGGGAGTTATTTGAGTGAGAGCTCCAACGCAGCCTCATGTGCATAGTGGAAGTTCATGGAGTGTATCAAGTCTGAAGTGAGAAGCACATAGGTTACTGACTAGGTGAGTCTCGTGGCATCCACGGCTCTCTTAACAATGGGGTTAGTTCTGGCGCTGACTTTTGCTTTTGTATTGATGATATCTTCTAAGCTGGCTGGATCGTGAAGTTGATACCATGAGCGTTGGAACCCGAGAAAAATACGAAAAATAAGGTACCCAATTAACTGGCTTGAATCAACATTTTGTTTGTCTTGCTCATACTGCTCCATATCTACCCCTTTGCGAAGTCAATGCATGATGCCGAGGAACATGGGAGCGAGGTAGTAAGATAGGTCATGTAAATAGCAGGCATTTGTACTTCATTCCCTCCTCATGGACCATACTATTGTTGTTGGCTGAAAGGGTGATAGACAGTTGCGGGTTGGGATTGCCGGTGGCAGTGATTTCGGGAACCAGTTTACTTTGCTAGGAAAGGTGGCTCTGGCTTTAGTTATTACTTACCTAGGAAGTCGAATTTCCTGTTTTTGGCATCTTCCTTGACATTTTCTTTAAGTGCTCATACCTCAGTGGGTGTATTAGTGGTGATACTCTGCCAAGGAATGTATGGTGGTGCTCCCTAGCAGGAGGTAGGGGGGTAGCCAGAGGTTTTGTGTTGGATTACCCCTCTGACATAATTCCATCGTGTGGGCATGCTGGTGCGGTGGACAGCTGTTATTTGCTCACAAATTACACATTAAACACAGGAAAGCGGAACGACCAAGCAATCCAATTGACTAACCGAAGGAGGCCCAGAGCTATCAGAAGGCTTCACCATCTCTGGTGTAATATTAGATTGCTATCAATCGCAAATCTGACATATGTGTGCTCATATCTCTTGGGGGCCGGTCTGATTAGCGGCTTGACACTTGGGGTAGTCTCAAGTGTTACTAGGGTCGGGGATGAAATTGTGCCTGTGTCCAAGAAAGACTTGGCTCAGCCAGATGATAGATAATTGATGACCGAGTCACTCTCGTAGTGCTAACGTCGACTAGATGCGCCCAGAGCATTCTTTCCGTCGAAGTCAATTACTAATCAGAGATCCCTAGAAACTAGTGCCTATTGTAGTATTGAGCAATTGTGAAATTAGGATTTATGGAGTAGTGGTGTTAATAGATGTTTAGGGGAGACAGCCGATTTTGAAGAGGTGGGGTTATGACAGGTGGAGGGATTAGAGAAGCATGCCATGCCCCGCGGCGGCTTGGGGGGAAAGAAGCTCACCCCTGGATTACGCGAAAGAACTAGCTAGCGTACAGGCAATGATAGGTATTTAAAGGAGCCGTTATCTATGTTCTCTGAGAGAACCGACAACGTCCCTTTCCACCCCATCCCTCGTTCCTCTGACTCTGCACGGCAGAAAAAGATGATGTTCGCCAAAAAAGCATCAACATTGGGGAATATTCAGAATCAATGCAACGAGGAAGTACCTGACCCCATCCGGTCCCGTGCTGAACTAATTTATTCCCTAGGGTCCACCAGGGACCCTGAATCGCCGCAGCCTCTCCCCGAAACTCGATCGGATACAGCCTCTGACACCAAACCAGATTCCACACCAGGAATCAGCAAACCATGAGGTGATGAAGGGCGATCCACAATATTCACTCCGATAGCCACAATACGGGGAGGAACCTTGCGTGGGCTTCCGAACTCGGGTTTTATTCATCGAGTCCCTGGACCTCAATATCGAGGATCCCCATGCACACAGAGAGGCAATCAGGAAGCGACAGACGGGGAATAACGAGACAATTACCTCCCCTAGCAACCTTGTTGACTCTCTTAGCGTCCATGCGAATTCCCTTGATACCCCCTTAACACATATTACGGTTCTATCTGGCCCCATCAAACTCCTAAGGAACAGTTTCATCAGCACCTTCAAGCGAGATAAGCTAGGAAGTGCAACAGAGGATGACTTGGGAATAATTAGGACGAGCGGCGATTAGATTCAGGCAGGGGATTCTGTTGCGGATTCCTTGCGATATATAGGAATCTGTGCTAGAAAGGATTTCATTGTTTTTAAGGACTTGTATGGGTTTCTCCCAGAAGAGGTGAGAAGGATTAGTGATGGGTCGCAGAGACGACCGCCCCCTGTTTGAAATGTATTGAAGTTAACTCGGTCCAGGGCACTTTAAGAGCATCTTCCATTGGACGCACACGCCGGAGTCCTCGCTGCGAAGCACAAGATTGGTAGCGACAAATTCTACCAGCTTTTTTCTGGCTTTGTTTAGGCCTTTCACGAAACAGGCAAGAGGTGCGAGGGGCTACTTGGATGGTGAGACCACGAGGAAAACGGACACTTACTGGGCTTTTGTATGTTGCGTCAGGGTCGAGGTCAGAAATAGGGAACGTTTGTGGGGTACGGTGTTTCTTGGGCTTGATAATTCCTAGTGTTTGGGATTGTACATATCTCAATTTGAACGCTAGTGGAGCGATGAGATTGATTTTAATTGCCGCGACTAGAACAGTCAAATACTTCTTCTGTTGGGATGTATTCTGATTGGTCACGGCAATCTCCGCCTTCTGCCCTTCCCCGTCTTCTTTCAATCCAAGAATCACCGCTAGATGGCCCCCTCCTTCTGGGCTATCGATCACTTGAAGGAGGGATACCTCTGGAATTCCAATGGATACTTTGCTGGGTTAGCTGGACCGGCGGTAGACCTCGCTTTCTTCGGTTGGGTTTTCAGGTATCGGGTTTTCGAACCCACTTACCAAATGAACCCGGCCAGACCCAGCAAAGCGAACCTGGTAAAACGCTGGGGGCCTGCAGAACACAAAGAACAGTAATCCACCACCGGACCCAATGAACCCAACGTAGTATCTATTGAAGGCCTGGAAATACAAGAATACCAATTGATCAGATTTTCGCATGCACCGCACCACACTGGGATTCAGTAAGATTGGGCGAGAGATGATTGGGACAGGGTGGGCCAAATAGAGTCTATCCATTCATCCATTTTCAAGTCCAAAGCCATGTCCAGGACTACGGGAACATTCAAAATCTCTGGCAGCCACAGTCGCTGTTAGAAAGCAACACTGCGGTTCTTTACTGGAACTTTGTAGATGTCCACACTTTAGGCCAGGCTCCATTTCCACTCTTCGGGACCCTGCTTCTTACTATCCTGTTAAGGAGGCCAGAGCAGAGTTCAGAACCTCTACAAAGATCCCACGGTACTGCCTAGCCGCTAAAGGTGGAGCTCCATAAGTGCGCAGGAATGGCATACTCTAAGATAAAAGCTCCATGGCTAAAAGCCCACTACTACCTACCATCTTAGAAGCTGTCATGCCCCTCAGCCCTTGGACCTTGGGCATTTAACGCGTTTAGAACAGGCATGGTATAAACTAGGATAATTGATATATCGACCGTCCCGTTCCAAGTACTACTGGCGTTTGGAAGGGCTTGGGAAATTGTCTCCCTCGTGTAATTTGGGCAAATAAATTTGCACAAATTCTTCTCCCTGTTCTCAAAATAACTCTCCAAACAGATCAGGTATCACCGGTGCAGCTGCATTCGTGGTTCTCATCCGTCGCTCCCACATCACCCGGGGTTAAATGAAGCTTCACCAATTTCATCAAGTAGTTGCTTGGTGGATCAAGCGAGGAGGAATTAGAGAATAGGGCCGGAACGCCTCAGGGGTCTTTCCCCCACCCGCAAAACACCCTATATGCTAGCACGCGGTATGAGCGGTCTCGCTAGAGTTGAAAACGAACAAAAACCGCAAAATGGGTAAACATGAGTGCTCTAGTAGCTCCTGCTGATCTCTCATTAGCTGGGATTGCACTTGTGGCACAATGAAGGGTATAAAGTATACAGCTAGCTTAGATGAATACCCAACTCCCACCTAATCTGAGGATACCTCGACTGACAATGAATCTCCCTTCTCCTCTAGAGCGCTTAATGGATGGGTGTTCGCATTCGTTGCCGCGGCAGGGAGCATAAGCGAGAAGGACTGTGAGGTGTAGGTTCGTTCGCTGGTGCTGGAACCATACCTAAATGGGAAACCTCGGACGACCGCAAAGGTGCCCGTATATTTGGTCTCTTGCCCGGGTGTAATGTTTGGGCGGTGGGGAGAGCGTTCATGACTGAAGTGAAGACGGTGCAGGGATTAGCTACGAGGCATGGAAAAATATCTTAGAAGGCGTCTTCGACCTAGGTGACTAATATCGTTCATGCCCCAATCACGTTGCAGAGTGTTCTAGTTTTTTTTTTGCAAAATAATTTTTCATTAAACAAGAACTTTTACAAACATAGTTTCTCGTTCGCGCGCAACTTCCCCCCCCCTCCTTTTTTTCTTTATTTTCTCCACTAGCAGATGCCTGCTCGCCCATCTCCCTTCGCTGCCTCTACACCCTTTCTTAGAATCCCCTCACAAGGAATCATTTTCAATACTTGGAACATCGCCGTCACTTCCAACACCGAATATTACTCCTTCCATTCCCCTCTCCTCAATCGCATCCTTAGACTTCGCCACAAAGATGCCATGAGAAAGTGCCGTATCGCTGCTTGCCTCCTGGGTCGGGGACTTGACGCTGGCCGAAGTATCCTCTGCCTTCATGGTTCCCCGGTACAAAGTAATCTGACGGCTTAATTCGGCGTCCACACTCTTCAAGAATTCCAGCTTAAGCATCAAGACTTTAGTTTCTTGGTTAATTCTCTCAGTGGCAGTCCTTCTCTTGCCCCCCACACGACCCTTGCGCTTTGGATTCCGGGGCTTGGGACAATTGGTCGTAGCGTTCTCCAAAGTGGGACCCAATAGGTCGGGCTGCGTGATTTTCTTCGTAACTCCTGCACCATCCTTGCGCTTAAGAATGAGCGACATGGTTTTGACAGCTGCTGGCGACATAGTCTGCTTGATCGTAACCTTAGAGAAACTGGCATTCTTGGAGACCCCGGCAGTCGAGTCGGGTCCTTCTCCTACATCCCCCTTGGCCTTTGCCTCCGGCTGAGTATGAGCTGTCAAACGTCCGGCATGATACTTCTTTGTAATCCCCGCATCTGCTTTGGGCCCGAGAATCGGCCGGGCTGGCTTAGCGGTAGGCTTCACTGGATTCCTGTCTGTGGAACCCCTACCAGCTGCCAGATTTGCCAGAATATTGGGTGATGGAGGTGGTGTCTTCCGCATAGTAGCATGAAGAAACGGCAGAGATTGTGAACACTGCTTTATCCACCAGAGAATACGTTGGTGTCGCTCAGTGCCATTTAGTATCTCACCAGGAGTTATTTTGTGGGTGGTTTTCGAGATTTTATTGGTCCTGGTGGCAGTAATATTCTGAACATCCTTCCGCATCTTGTTCCAACGGTTCAGATTTTTCATTGTCATCGCCTTTTCCACCTTCGGCTTTACCTTTGCCTTGACTCCACTCCGACCCTTTAAGCCTGTGTTAGTAGTAGCCCATGCTCTACAGGTGGGCTTAGTGATGGGGGACTTTACCTTTCTGGCAGACCCTGCCATAATATCACCAGGCAAATCCATCGCAACATCCTGCTTCGTAATCGGAGTGGTTTGGGTAAATTCGCGGCCATGCTCAGCCTGGTTGACAGGCACCTCATCCTGCGCAAGCTTCGGTTCCAACTCGGGCGCACACATTGTAGGGCGTGGGGGGCCTTGGCACAACTGGTGGTCGGTGGGAGCGGAGTTTTCCTCCATATCCGTTACGGTTGGCCATGCTGCCGGGGGAACCGGAATCTGATATCCAATAGGGAGCACGATGCTGGTGGTGAGAGCAGTCTTGTTTTCTTGATACTCGGTCCTCTCGTTGTTCTCATAATCGCTCTTGTTCTGTAGGTTGAGACCAGCGCCGAGATTGGGTGAGGGATTAGTATTGTCGGCAGTCATGTTGAGATCGACAGCGTGATCGTTGGGTAGTATCTCGAAGCGTTTGAAGTTTTTCATGTTTGCGGTGTTGGTGTATCGTTTGCGCCAAGTGTGGTATTAAAATTCAAAAATAAAAATAGGGAATTTAAAGTACCACCCTCTTGGAGTTGACAAGAGAGATACGTATTAGGGGCCTGGGGAGTGTGTGCAAAGAGACAAGGGGAGGGTGATGGAGATGGGGTGTGGGGAGGAAGGAAGCAAGGAGGGTGAGGAAGAAGGTTTACGTGAAGGGAGAAGGAGTGTGTCAAAGGGGCAGGGAAGGAAAAGACGAGGGTCTGTGAGAAGGGAGGGGAGAAGGGAGAGGAAGAAGAAAACATTTTATACTGCAGGGGATTTTGTGGAGAGGGCTCATCACTAAGGCCCTAGGAAAATAGGGAGCGTAATACGTGAACAACGGCCAGGCTTTCTGGCCAATGAGGTCATGTACAGCCAAGCTTTTGGCCTGCTTCCTCATTATTATTTTTTATTGTACCCAAACCTCGCTGATTCCGTGCCTACCATTGACCAAGGGAAGCCCTTGAGGTTGGCGTATATCATACGACTGTGAATTGGGACGCTCGCTCAATCAGCCCTCGGCCTTATAGGACCTTGGTTTGTCTTGGCCAGTTTTGGTTATGTCACTTAGTTAAGTTGGAGCAGGTAGGCGCCTTCAGCACGGGAGGGTGAATCTTTCTTATTTAATATTCCACTGGGGTTCTGGATCCAAAGAACCATATGTTATATGCCACTACCATCCTTGGAAGACTGCTGATGGTTTCTGCCGTCCCAAGCTTAATGTAACAGACCTCTGTAGCGAGAACAGGCCTCAGGGCCTCCTGGATTAGGAACCGGATGTTGCTCTAGAAGCCATTCATCTTAATGAGGGTCAATCAATTGGAGAATGTCTTAACCATCTATGTAAAGGGAACCAGGAGAGATTACCATGCCCCCGGAAATCCCCCACACCGACAGAGAGTTTTAAACTCCAAGCTGATTTACGGGGAAACCACTGAGGGCCAGGATTCTACTCACCTATGGTAACAAGTAGAGAATGAAACATACCTTTAATTTTCACAATGAATAATTGAGATCTCTGAAGTTTGATCTGTATATACTTTAGAATATGGAGAACTGGAATATGTAAACTGTATTTAATGAGTCCGAATTGTTTCTCTTAGGCAGAGTTTTTAAGATTGTTTGGAATGAAAGTGCTGGAATTTCCAGGGATAGAAAAACAGAAAAACATAGAATAGAAAGTACTAGTAAGTGGATTGATAGATTGAATAAGCCTTATAAGCACATAATGAATAAAACCTTTTTTTTGCTGATTATCAATATTGTAGTACCTAGTAGAAATGAATGAAAAATAAGCAAGCTATATACAAATCCAGTATTTTCAACAGTAGGATAACTTGTTACCATGATAACCTGCAGCTGTAATCCTTTGGAATGTATTTTGAAATAACTGTTTATAGAAGTATGTATGTCTCCAAACTGTGCAGAGAATGCTTTCACATCCCAGGCTACTACATAGCATTATTATGAGTAAGGAAGTGTTAAGAATCCTACCGGGTAGGACCTAGTGACAGGTGAGGATACTTCTCTATAAGGTGATAGTTCTTAGGCCTATGCCTATGCGATCCCGATAGTCCAGTCCTTTGACTACTATCGTATTCGCGCCTATCTTCTTGTCCTTCTTAGTCCTTGATTAGGACTTAGTCATTCGACGTGGGAGGAGAAATAGTTGTCTCGCTTGAGAGGAAAGACAATTCTCGGGTTTCTTAAGATAAATCTTAAAGAGCGCAAAGGTAGGTTTTATTGATAATAACTTAAAGGTAGGAAATAAACAAGAACATGTGAAGAGCTAATACTAGGGGTCCTTAGTGACCCTTTATATAGTAGCTCTTCACCTGGTGTGACTCATACTTATGTGTCACGCGACCCTTGTGACTGATAACTATGAGTCACATGAAATCCATCAGCTGACTCGTATGAGTCGCTGCGCAACATGCCTAAACCTAATCAAAACCTTAATAACTATTTCACGTGTGCAACTCGCGTCACCTGAGTGAAACCAATGACTCATAACTTGAGTCATGTGCGAAAATCATAACATCGTGTGACTCACAACTGTGAGTCACCAGCAGGTAAACATAATAATCTATGGCGCACTAGTGTGCGTCATGTGAAATCCCCACATACCTATAGCTTGGAAATCCGAGCTATGTAAAATCTGCCTTGCTTAGTCACAGTTTGTGACAGAAAGTATGATAGGTTAATTAATTTAAGCTATTATTAGTCTTCATGATAAGGTGGGTCCAGCCTTTAAAGGCACCCTGGAGGCCTAGTACCGAACTCTAGCTACTTTATTACCTTGAAATAATTAGCTGCAATAATGGCAGTTATCTTAAAACCTCCTAACACTCTTACTCTGGCCAGAAGACTAGGTTGAATTCCCTGGAGTTTACCTAAATAGTAGCCTCTTATTAGATCATAATTGTTAGGGGGTAGGTAACTCTAAAGTCAAGCAAGTGTACGCTAGGCCCTGTAATCTTCTATCTCGGAGATAGTCAAGAAGGCTCGTAAAGATAGAAGTAAAGTAGAACGAATATATTGATAAGATCTCTTCTCCGGTTGCTGATGATAGACTTAAAGCTAGGGATTTTTTTTTTTTTTTGTTTGACTCATTGATTATTTGTTTAGGGTACAAAAAACGTATGGAGCGCTAGCTATGACGACAAAAAACCCATATCCCTCCTCTGGCCACACGAAAAAGCCAAACCCCCAAGCCCCTCTGGTATGGAGCCAACTGCACATCTCGCCTCAAAGAAAAGAAACCCAAGCCCGGCTAGATGGACGAACAAGGAAATCCTAACTAAGAAGAAAGCAGGAAGGGCCAGGAAAACCTGCTGAGAAATCCCAAAAAGACAAAAGAAAGGTTAGTAGCAAGCCACGTAGGCCCCGAAGGGCGAGTCTACTCATTCAAGCGGGAAGCGACGCACGAAGCGCGCTAAGATAGGGGGCCCCCCCCAGACCCACTCTAAGGAGACAGTGCAATACCATGGAGCGAAGGAGGAGACCAGCCGGCCGTGGGCGATAACCGGGGGGAGGGGAAGGTGTAGCAGTAGGGTGCCAGCCGATCCGACCGTAGGGAGAGGAGAGCGGAGGGGTAGACCCAAAGACCTTTAACAACGTCTATCGGAAACGCGTTCGTGTCTGACTAGGCAGCCTCTTAGGGAAACAAGAGAACGGGGAGATCAACTGTAGCCTGTTGGCTGTTCCCCCCTACTGCGACTGTAGTCCCGGCCGTCTGACGATGGTGGTTAAGGGGTTACCGACCGTGAGAAGGCTAAGCGAGGCCAACTCAGGAGGAGGATAGGACTCCCCACCATGCGTGGGGGGAGGAGGAAGGGGGAGTAAGGAAGGTCATCAACAGCCGCCTAGGCCAGCATGGCAGGTGTTTTACCGCGTCTCTCATGTAGTCCCTTGTTCTGGGAGAGATAGCTTTACTGTAGTGGATGGGATCCCACCACCTGCCAGCCAGCCAAGGAGGGCCTCCGACCAACCAACCCCCAGGGGGAGAGAGGACCCTAGGACGGTAGACCAAAGTCAATACCTCTGGGTGGGAGAGGAGAGCGGAGCCAGACTCCCCTAGCCCGAGGCCAAAGGCAGGAGTGGGCAGGCGGGAGGAGAATGTTTCGCGATGAAACAAAAAACTCACGATAAAAACCGTGGTGTTGAGTTTTCAATCGCCGGAGGTGTAGCGGAGACGGAGGATGGACTTAAAGCTAGGGATTTTTTTTTTCTTTTTGTTTAACTCATATATTCTTTGTTAAGGTACAAGAACCTGCATGGAGCGCTAGGTATGGCAAAAACAAAACCTTAATTTCAGACGCATTCCTCCGCGCCCCAGGGAACAAAACAACTCCCCCAAGACCCTCTGGTATGGGCCCAACCGCACATCCCACCCCGCAAAGGAACAATCATCCTCAACAGGGAAGGCAGGAAGGAGAAGAAAACCCTTCAGCGTCATCTCGACAAAGGAAAGAATAGATTAGGAAACCCCCAAGTGCCTCTACAGATGTCCGCGAACGAATATGTCTGCTGTCGGGCCCACGGTAGGACCCTGGCGAAATGCCAGGATGGAGCCGGCCAGCTCAACGCAGGAGATAGTGCAATACCAAGGTAGGCCAACCAGCTGTTCGGCCGGGGGCGGGCCGCAAGCGTGGAGAGAGGAAGACAGGCGAGAGATGCCAGCAACCTGAGATAGAGGGGGGCCGCCAATACTGCCGAGGAGGGGGGGGGGGTAGACCCCGGGCGTCAGGAGTCTGGAGGTGGAGAGGCTGGATGATGCGCAACATCAGAGCCAGGAAGGGTTGTAGTGCTGCCGCGATGGTGGCAGAAGAGGGAGAAGTACCAGCTAAAATGGTACAGAGGGGAGGAAGGGTGGCCGAAGCACTGCCCCTTGGTGGTGGTGGGGCCCGAGGGCCCAGGCAGTAGGGTGCCAGCCGATCCCGGAAGAGAGGAGAGGAAGAGGGCAAGGCAAAGAAAGGATCCGGTCAAACGATACGGTAGGAGGCTGCAACTGGGGTCACAGGAGTAGCAGATGTTTTACCGCATCTCTCATGTAGTCCCTTGTTCTGGGAGAGATAGCGTCACTATAGTGGAAGGGATCCCACCATCTGCCACTCCTGATAGCCCAGAGGACCACCAGCCCAACTGACCGTTCAACCATCAACCCAGCCACCAAAGCCGACCGTGCAGATGCTAAGCGAAGTGTAGCAAAAGCGGGGTAGGGAGGAGAGAGGCCTCACGATGAGACCCCCAGGGTGAGGAGTGGACCCCCATCCAGCAGAGGCGAGATAACAGGTGGGGGAGAGAGTAGAAGAGAGGCGCCGTTGGGCGAAAGGATGGAAGGCATCAGCCTGCACCCCCCGGCGGGGGGGTGCAGGGCTAAAGAAAAGTGGTGATAGTTCCTCGGTGTTGAGTCGTTCCCGATTAGGAAATATTTTTCAATGACCGGAGGTGTAGCGGAGACGGAGGATGGACTTAAAGCTAGGGAGGCACCTCGATATTTATATTCCGCGTCTGAGTGGTCGCGGGCTACATCTAATCCCTTACTGACTATGTACTTGCCGTACTAACGATACAGTGTCTTCGGAGTGCGAACACCTTTTGACCCTGAAAACTAACTTTCCCGCTCTCT